ACTCTGTCTAAAAAAAAAAAAATACAGGCTTGGCCAGGTGCGGTGGCTCACGCCTGTAATCCCAGCACTTTGGGAGGCTGAGGTGGGCAGATCACAAGGTCAAGAGATTGAGACCATCCCGGCCAACATGGTTAAACCCTGTCTTTACTAAAAATACAAAAGATTAGCTGGGCATGATGGCATATGCCTGCAGTCTCTGCTATTTGGGAGGCTGAGGCAGGAGGATTGCTTGAACCTGGGAACCAGAGGTTGCAGTGAGCCCAGATCATGCTACTGCACTCCAGCCAGGCAAAAGAGTGAGACTCTGTCTCAAAAAAAAAAGAAAAAAAATGCAGGCTCATGCCTGGAATCCCAGCACTTTAGGAGGCTGAGGCAGAGGGATTACTTAAGCCCAGGAGTTCGAAACCAGCCTGGGCTACCTAGCAAGACTCCATCTCAAAAAAAAACATTAAAAAATACATAACTCACTGGGCACAGTGGATCACTACTGTAATCCCAGCACTTTGGGAGGTCAAGGCGGGCGGATCACGAGGTCAGGAGTTTGAGACCAGCCTGACCAACATGGTGAAACCCCATCTCTACTAAAAACACAAAAATTAGCCAGGCGTGGTGCTGGGTACCTGTAATCCCGGCTACTTAGGAGGCTGAGGCAGGAGAATTGCTTGAACTGGGAGGTGGAGGTTGCGGTGAGCTGACATCCGGCCACTGCACTCCAGCCTGGCGAAAGAGTGACACGTGTCTCTAAATATCATCAACAACAATGAAAACCCAAAAAACAAAAACAAGGGGCCAGGCCCAGTGGTTCACGCCTATAATTCCAGCACTTTGGGAGGTCAAGGTGGGTGGATCACCTGAGGTCGGGAGTTCGAGACCAGCCTGAGCAACAGGGCGAAACTCCACCTCTTTAAAAATACAAACATTGGCCAGGTGTGGTGGCTCACGCCTGTAATCCTGGCACTTTGGGAGGTCAAGGTGGGTGGATCACCTGAGGTCGGGAGTTCGAGACCAGCCTGACCAACATGGAGAAACCCCATGTCTACCAGAAATACGAAATTAGCCAGGTGTGGTGGTGCATGCTTGTAATCCCAGCTACTTGGGAGGGTGAGGCAAGAGAATCTCTTGAACCCAGGAGGTGGAGTTTGCAGTGAGCTGAGGTAGCACCATTGCACTCCATTGTGGGCAACAAGAGCAAAACTTGGGTCTCAAAAAAAACACAGGGCCGGGCGTGGTGGCTCACGTCTGTAATCCAAGCACTTTGGGAGGCCGAGACGGGTGGATCACGAGGTCAAGAGATCGAGACCATCCTGGTCAACATGGTGAAACCCTGTCTCTACTAAAAATACAAAAAATTAGCTGGGCGTGGTGGCGCGTGCCTGTAATCCCAGCTACTCAGGAGGCTGAGGCAGGAGAATTGCCTGAACCCAGGAGGCGGAGGTTGCGGTGAGCCGAGATCGCGCCATTGCACTCCAGCCTGGGTAACAAGAGCGAAACTCCGTCTCAAAAAAAAAAAAAAAACCCACAAAACTTAGCTAGGTGTGGTGCTGGGTGCCTGTAGTCCCAGCTACTCAGGAGGCTGAGGCAGGAGAATTGCCTGAACCCAGGAGGCGGAGGTTGTGGTGAGCTAAGATTGCGCCCCTGCACTCCAGCCTGGGTGAGAAAGACTCTGTCTCAAAAAATAGTTAAAAAAAAAAAAAAAAAGGAAATTGTTGGGAAAAGATACGTGAAAATATGTCTCTGGGGATATGCCCACTTTTCCATTTGCCTTAGTCTCCAGCATGGTTTCACATGACACTTTTGCAAAATTGTTACAAGTATTTGTGCATATGTACAGGATACGTGCGATGCTCGTTACACAAATACAATCTATAACGGTCATGTTAGCGTATTTGGAGGGTTCATAACAGACTATTTCTTATTTCTATATGTTGGGAACATTTCAAGGTCTCTCTTGTAGCTTTTTTTTTTTTTAATTTAAAACAATTTTGATTAAATAGAGATGAAGTCTTGCTATGTTTCCCAGGCTGGTCTCGAACTCCTGCCCTCTGGGAATTCTCCTGCCTTGGCTACCCAAAGTGTTGGGATTACAGGCGTGAGCCACCTTCCTCTAACTATTCTGAAATATACAATACATTGTTGCTAACTAGTCGCCGTATTCTGCTATCAAACATTAGAATGTATTCGTTCTGTCTAACTGAATGATTGCACTCATTAACTCACCTCTTTTCCTTTCCCGCCGCCAACCTCCACAACCTCCCCAGCCTCTGCTACTGAGCATCCTATGCTCTACCTCCATGAGACCAACCTTCTGGCTCCCAGGTAGCAGTGACACCATGCTGTATTTGGATTATTTCACTTTTGTTTTTTTTTTGAGTCGGAGTCTTGTTCTGTTGCCCAGGCTGGAGAATAATGGTGCTATCTCAGTTCACTGCAACCTCTGCCTCCTGGGTGCAAGACCTTCCCGCCTCAGCCTCCCAAGTAGCTGGGACTACAGATATGCGCCACCATGCCTGGCTAATTTTTGTGTTTTTAGTAGAGATGGGGTTTCCTGACGTTGGTCAGGCTGGTCTTGAACCCCTGACCTCAGGTGATCCACCCGCCTCGGCCTCCCAAAGTGCTGGGATTACAGGTGTGAGCCACCGCGCCTGGCCGTTATTTCACTTTTTCACTAAACATGATGACCTCTAGTCCCATCCATCCATTTTGCTGCAAATGACAGGATTTCATTCTTTGTTATGGCTGAATAATATTCCCTTGTGTATATAACACATTTTTTTTTGAGACGGATTCTCATTCTGTCGCCCAGGCTGGAGTGCATGATCTTAGCTCACTACAACCTCTGCCTCCCAGGTTCAAGCAATTTTCCTGCCTCAGCCTTCCAAGTACCTGGTACTACAGGCCTATAGGTCTGAGGCCACCAGGCTCAGCTGATTTTTTAATATTTTTAGTAGAGGCAGGGTTTCACCATGTTGGCCAGGATGGTCTCGATCTTCTGACCTCATGATCCGCCCACCTCGGCCTCCCAAAGTTCTGGGATTACAGGCATGAGCCACCGCGCCCGGCCTATATTTTACATTTTTTTTGGTACAGTTGGGGGTCTCATTATGTTGCCTGGCTGGTCTTGAACTCCTGGGCTCAAGTGATCCTCTTGGTTCAGCCTCCCAAAGTGTTGGGAATACAGTCGTGAGCCACCGTGCTCTTCTCAAGCTCTATTTAGACAGTCATTTCTCCTGGGGGGATGTCAGCTGGGGAGAGCGTGGGGGAGAGCAGGCTGGGAGACGGAGGTTTCTCTGTGCCCCGCAGGGCAGTTCACTGGAGCCCAGAGCTTGAGCAGGGAGGTTCCCGGCGGGATGACAGGAGCCCTGGGGAAGTTTATCTTGGATCCCAGCCAGCAGCTCCAATCACAGGGCCCAGGTGGGGCGGTGAGGACGCAGTGTCAGCATTGGACAGAGTCCCTGAGATCACCGAATATGGTGGCTCCGTCTTCCTTCCAGGGCTGTGTGCTGCTTTTGGAGGCGTAGCAAGTGTTTACCAATATCCCCAAGGGAGCTTGTGAAAAATGCAGATGCCAGGCCTGTGAACCCAGCATTTTGGGAGGCAGAGGCGGGAGGATCACTTGAGCCCAGGAATTCAAGACCAGCCTGGGCAACATAGCAAGACCCTTTCTCTCTCTCTCTCTCTCTCTTTTTTTTGAGATGGAGTCTGGCTCTGTCTCCCAGGCTGGAGTGCAGTGGCACGATTTCTGGTCACTGCAACCTCTTTCTCCCTGGTTCAAGCAATTCTCCTGCCTCAGTCTCCTGAGTAGCTCGGTCTGCAGGCATGCGCCACCACGACTGGCTAAGTTTTTTGTATTTTTAGTAGAGACAGGGTTTCACCATGTTGGTCAGGCTGGTCTTGAACTCCTAAACGCAAATGATCTGCCCGACTCAGCCTCCCAAAGTGCTGGGATTACAGGCGTGAGCCACAGTGCCTGGCCAGACCCCATCTCTTAAAAAAATTAGTCAGGGTTGGGCACAGTGGTTCACACCTGTAATCCTAGCACTTTGGGAGCTGAGGTCAGTGGATCACCTGAGGTCAGGAGTTCAAGACCAGCCTGGCCAAAATGGTGAAATTCCGTCTCTACTAATAATACAAAAATTAGCAGGGTGTGGTGGCGGGCACCTGTAGTTCCAGCTACCTGGGAGGCTGAGGCAGAAGAATCACTTGAACTTGGGAGATGGAGGTTGCAGTGAGCCGAGATCGGGCCACGGCACTCCAGCCTGGGAGACAGAGCAAGTATCCATCTCAAAAAAAAAAAAAAAGAGTTAGCCAGGTGTGGTGGTGTGAGCCTGTGGCCCCACCTACCCGGGAGGCTGAGGCAGAAGGACTGCTTGAGCCTGGGAGTTCAAAGCTGCAGTGAGCTGTGGTCGCACCACTCCATCCTGGCAACTGAGTGAGTCCCTGTCTCAAAAACAAGACAAAAGCAAAACAAAACGCCGATTCCGGGGTCCAGTTCCCTATTCATTTCATCTCGGTTGAGGCCCAAGAATGTGTGTTTTAAGATCCAGGCCCATGAGTTCAGAAGCTGAAAAACCTTGGAAATGTGAGACGGGCTTGGGCAAACGGCCTTAGGTCTCACCTCGCTGAGGCCCAGTTTCTACCTCTGTAAAAGCGGGGTAGTAATTGTGCCTTCTGGCTTTACGCAGGGGTTCCACGCGGGGGAGTCTGTAAGGTCTTCAAGAAACCGGCGCAGCAGTGATAATCACTGCCATTCTTCCCCGCGAATGAGACCCCGGACCTGGCGTGCAGGAGTTGCACCCGCTCCCCGAGCGCGGGATTCGAACTCGCGAAACGCCTCGCGCCTCCTTGACGTCACGAAGTCACCCCGGGAAAGGCGCTCCTCGCCCCGCCCTCGGCCCCGCCCGCGCCCGGAGCCCCGCCCCGCTCGCCTGAGCGCAGCCTACCCCGCTGCCTGCCCCGCGCCCCGCCCCCGCTCCGGCCTCCCGCCGCCGGGCCTCGCGATTGGTCGTGTCGGGACGCCAGGGCCCGCCCCCCGAGTGTCGGCCCCGCCCCCGCAGAGGGGAGCGAGCGCTCGCGGGCCGGGGCGGCAGGTTCGGCTGCGCGGCGGGGCAGAGGCGGCCGCGGGGCCCGAGCGCAGGTAAGGAGCTCACGCGATCCGAGCCGAAGGAGCCGAGGGCGCGTCCGGCGACCGGGAGAGGGAACTGGGACGGCTCCGATTTGGCTGCGGACCGAGTTGGGGGTCGGGGTCCGCTGAGGAGGGGGCTGGGGACCCCCGCTTCACTTGGAGGTTGGGGCTGGAATTGGGGACTGGGCTGCGCTTGGGGGGTTGAGGTTAGCTGGGGAGGGGCTGCGCTGGGGGTTGAGACTGCACTTGGGAATCCGGGCTAGCTGGGGAGGGGGCCGGAGTTGCAGGTCCAGATTAGCTGGTGGGGGCTGGAGGGGCGACTGGAGGTCTGAGTTGGCTGAGGAGGGGGCTGGGGTGATTTTGGAAGTCTGAGTTATCTGGGAAGGGGGCTGGAGTGGCAGGTTGAGGTTAGCTGGGGGGGGGGTGTTAGAGGTGGGTTAGGAGGTCGGAGTTAGCTGGGGAGGCGGCTGGAGTTGCATGTCCAGGTTAACTAGAGAGGAGCTGGGGTGGAATTGGAGGTCTTGAGTTTGCTGGGGAAGGGGCTGGGGTGGAATTGGAGGTCTTGAGTTTGCTGGGGAGGAGCTGGGGTGGAATTGGAGGTCTTGAGTTTGCTTGGGAGCTGGGGTGGAATTGGAGGTCTTGAGTTTGCTTGGGAGCTGGGGTGGAATTGGAGGTCTTGAGTTTGCTGGGGAGGGGGCTGGAGTCTCGGGTTGAGGTTAGCTGGGGAGGGGGCTTGGAGTGGGATTGGAGGTACGAGTTAGCTGGGGAGGCGGCTGGAGTTGCAGGTCCAGGTTAACTAGGGAGGAGCTGGGGTGGAATTGGAGGTCTTGAGTTTGCTGGGGAGGGGGCTGGAGTCTCAGGTCGAGGTTAGCTGGGGAGGGGGCTGGAATTGTAGGAACTGGAAATCTGAGTTGGTTGGGGAGGGTCTGGAGAGGGAAACGGGTTGAGTCAAGGGTGCAGCCTATTTGAAGGGGGAGCTGAGAGTGGAGTTGAGGGTCGCAGGGAGCTGGGGAGGGGGCTGGGGATGGAGTTTGAAGTGGGGTCGTTGGAGAAGGGGCTGCAGAGGGAATTAGAGGCTGAGGTTGTCTGGGGAGAGGACTGAGGAATGTGGCTGGTGGAGATGTTGGGGGTTGATTGATGGCCCAGGGGTTAGGGTTAGCTGCAACGGGGCAGAAGGACAGAGTTGGGTCAGCATACAGGTGGGGTCAGGCTTGTTCCAGAAGGGATGTGGGGCTATCAGGGGAAACTGGGAGCTCGCGCGCGTGTGGGCTGGAGGGGTTTCAGGGAGAAGGAAGTTAGGGTGGGATGGTGAGAATGAGGGGGTAAGGTCCCAGGTGTGTCATCTAAGGAGGAAAACGGGGTGACGGGGTGTCTCAGGTGGGATCCAGCTAAAAGGAGTTTGGAGAGGACTCACCCCTCTACTTTTGGGGGAGATGTTAATTGTTTGCTCTAGAACTGGGCACCGGGCAGAACCCCTCGGGAACAGTGAGCTGAAGGAGATGGGAGTTGGGAATACTTTTTGAGGTTTATTTCTAGGATATAGGGTGCCAAGGAGAATGCTTCAGGAAGGAGAAAGTCTCCTGTCGGGGACTGGATTTTTCAGGAACTGAAGTGGGAGTTTTTGGGACGGTGATATTGAGCGACGTGGGTGGCACTTGATTTTTCCTGGGGAACGGGGGTTGCTAGGGGCTGGGAGGTGGGTGGTGGAAGACAGGCTTGGTGAACAGAGGCAGCGGATCCCCAGCTAAGCGTCTTCGCACGGTTGCTAGGTGTCAGCGAGGCAAATGCCAAGTTCACAGACTTGTTCTCCTCGTGGGATGCTGCGGCCCTGCCTTGATGGAGTGTGGGGGGCTCTGGGAGATGCGCCTGTGTGTTCTGACCCTGCGTCTCCATGCTGGGTGGGCTGCATCAACTTTTGGAGTCCCCGTTTCCTCCCCCGCAAAGCCGGAATAATAAAAACAGTAGCACGTGCCTCTTAGGTGGAATTACAGAAGGTATGCGCTGAGTGTTTCTTAGCACTGGTGGGGGTCTCCGGAACGTGGAGCATCACATACTCAATCTAGTTTTTTCCTGGGTGGGTTTGAGGTGGAGGAGCGGAATGACGGGGTTGTCACAGAGGAGGGGAAAGGAGGTGACTGGAACTTCACTCTACTCCTGCAACCTATGCGCACACATCAGGGCCACCCCTAGAAGCTTTAAAAAAGAATCCGCTTGGCTGGTCGCAGTGGCTCACGCCTGTCATCCCAGCGCTTTGGGAGGCCGAGGCGGGTGGATCACCTGAGGTCAGGAGTTCAAATACAAAAATTAGCCAGGCGTGGTGGCGGGTGCCTGTAATCCCAGCTACTCAGGAGGCTGAGACAGGAGAATTGCCTGAACCCAGGAGGCAGAGATTGCGGTGAGCCGAGATGGCGCCACTGCACTCCAGTCTGGGAGACAGAATGAGACTCTGTCTAAAAAAAAGAATGTGCAACAATAACAAAAATACGTCTCCTTGTTGTTACTATTACGATTATTTTGAGACAGAGTCTCGCTCTGTCGCCCAGGCTGGAGTGCAGTGGCCTGATCTCGGCTCACTGCAACCTCCGCTTCCCAGGTTAAAGTGATTTCTCTGCCTCCACCTCCCAAGTAGCTGGGACTACAGGTGTGCCCCACTAAGCCCGGCTAACTTTTGTATTTTTAGTAGAGACAAGGTTTCCCCATGTTGGCCACGCTGGTCTCGAATTCCTGACCTCAGGTGCTCCACCTGCCTCGGCCTTCAAAAGTGCTGGGATGACAGGCGTGAGCCACCACGCCCGGCCTGTCTCCATCGTATTAAAAGTGAGTAAAAAACTGAAAAGGAAGAAGGCTCTGTGCACACCTGCTGGCAGGAGAGTCTCAAGGCTCATCGGGAACAAGTGCACTTGTTTAAGAGAAGGCTGCCTGGGTCATTCGGATTTAGGGCACCCGGTGAGGAACCACATGATGACATGCTCGAAATTGGTGAGTTTACACCTTGAGCTCATGGGATGGATTTGGGTGTCTCCATCCCAGCGCTGTGGACATTTGGGGTCCGGTCGTTCTCTGGGGTGGGGCCTTCTGGACCCTGCAACCCTGCAGTGCTCAGCAGCGTCCCTGGCCTCCACTACTCCATGCCAGGAGCTCCCCCATTGTGACAAACACAGCTGTCACCAGACATCACCCAGTGTCTGGTGGGGACAGAAACACTCCAGTGGGGCACCCTTGTTATAAACAAGACGGATGTATATTCTCCTTGAAAGACCTCATATCCAGGCCGGGCGAGGTGGCTGGTGCCTGTAATCCCAGCACTCTGGGAGGCCGAAGTGGGTGGATCACTTGAGGTCAGGAGTTCGAGACCAGCCTGGCTAATACGGTGAAACCCCGTCTCTACTAAAAAATACAAAAATTAGCTGGACGCGTTGGCGAGCACCTGTAGTCCGAGCTACTTGGGAGGCTGAGGCAGAAGAATTGCTTGAATCCAGGAGTTGGAGATTGCAGTGAGCGGAGATCGGGCCACTGCACTCCAGCCTGGGTGGCAGAGACTCTGTCTCAAAAAAAACCAGAAAAACCTCACCTCCCCTTTGATGTGCAGAAAGTGGGGCCGTTCAGAATTGGGGATTGTTCTTAAGTCATTTAGTGCTATTGCTTGGGGAGGGAGAAGCAAGGTGTCACTGCTTTCAGAAACCGTTAGAAATACCTACGTTTGTCCTGCACGGTGGCGCGCGCCTGTAATCCCAGCTACTCGGGAGGCTGAGGCAGGAGAATCGCTCGAACCCGGGAGGCGAGGGTTGCGGTGAGCCGAGATCGCGCCACTGCGCTCCAGCCCGGGCAACAAGAGCAAAACTCCGTCTCAAAAAAAAAAAAAAAGAAAAAAGAAGAAACGCCTACTCATTTCGACGTGGGTCTTTTGTGTGGCTTTTGAACACTTCATGCTGATTTAGAAGGTGGGATGAGGTTGTCAGTTACAGGCACTGGAAGGTGCCAGAGTTTGTCATGTGCTTTCCTCATTTTAACGTGGATCGTGAAGCTTCCACGAAGACCGTTATTTTCTGTTCTTGTTTCACGCTTAGTAAACCCTGGGCCCCCACTGTTTGACGGCAGAGAGGAGTCACCCTCAGGCGCAGACGGTTCAGCTTCGTGTTTACCGAATGGAGGCATGTTTCTGTCCGCCCAGTCGTAGCGTAAAAACACTCCTTTCTTCCTTCAGGGCGGCGTTCGGATTTTTCTCAGTTGCACGTGGAAACAGCAGTGGGCTTTCAAGTCACAGCCACTACGTCACTTGTATTTTCGAGGATGCTTCGCGGTTCCTTACGAGAAGGCTGTGCCTGGTCTCCGTGGGCTTGGGAGCTGGTGCTTTCTGGTTTTTTTTCCTTTGAGACAGAGTCTCCCCCTGTCGCCCAGGCTGGAGTGCAGTGATGCCATGTCGTCGGTTACCGCAGCCTCCGCCTCCCGGGCTCAAGTGATTCTCCTGCCTCAGCCCCCTGAGTGGCTGGGATTACAGGGCATGCACCACCACACCTGGCTAAGTTTTGTAATTTTAGTAGGGATGGGATTTCACCATGTTGGCCTGGCTGGTGTTGAACTCCTGACCTCAGGAGATCCACCCGCCTCGGCCTCCCGAAGTCCTGGGATTACAGGCGTGAGCCTGGCCAGGAGCTGGTGCTTTCTACAGGGGACCGAGATGATGACCTCAGGTGATCCACCTACCTCGGCCTCCCAAAGTGCTGTGCTTATGTGTCTGAGCCACCACACCTGGCCTGTCCTTGTTTTTGAGACATGGTCTCATTCCATTGCCCAGGCTGGAGCGCAGTGGCGTGATCTCGGCTCACCGCAACCTCCGCCTCCCGGGTTCAAGCAATTCTCCTGCCTCAGCCTCCCGAGTAGCTGGGATTACAGGCACGCGCCACCACGCGTGGCTAATTTTTGTATTTTCAGTAAAGACGGGGTCTCACCCTGTTGACCAGGCTGGTCTCCAACTCCTGACCTGAGGTCGTCCACCCGCCTCGGCCTCCCCC